AACTACCGTCTTAATGTTATGCTATAAATTTGGAACAGCTGGAGATTGATCAACCACGTTCGGAAAACTATCTAGATGAGAGCAGATAAAACGTATTTTCGTTGATTTGGTGGACATCGCAAATCCGGATCAGCATAGGACAGATAAAAGCAGGACAAATTCCATCGCATTCACTCCACTAGTTGGTGCCAGTTCAACTGCACAAAACGGCTTTACTACAGCTTCTCCACTACTGCAGCCAAACTCTGCAGCAATATATTCCTCAAGTGCAATTTAAAAAATCAAAATATTGCTATCGCTCAGTAGGCAGCCAAGGAGTATTGACCTCCCGATGAGAGTCCGCGTCAACTAATCTTATTGTTTCCGCTTTTTAATTTCTTTAGAAATTAATTTCTGTACTCGATACAGATAAGTTTATTCACTGTCTGTAGGCATAGACTTCGATTTAATATATATCTATATACATGGACGGAACTACATCGGCCACTGCAGGATAACCATGTAATGTACAGAACGCGCCAGAATTCGTGCAACATGCCGACATAGGCGAAAGATTGAAATTCTTTCGCAAATTGGCACTGACCCAGATTATGATACTGATTATTGTGAAGTCTATTCTGAAGTTGTTTCAGTTATGGTAGCATTAGGGCTTTTTAACGAGCTTCGTTCTGACCACTAAAAAAACGTATGTATTCAAGAAGTCAAGAACAAACATTTTCGATTAATTAATCATCAGGCGTGTACAATAATATAAAGCGGGTAGAAATAACAAAAGTTTAAGCAACCAATCAACGATAATTAAGGGGGAAGGGGGGAAGTGTTAAGAGATCAAAGGGGGGCAGAGGGGGAGGAAGGACGTGTTCTACAATTAGTTCATATCAATGGTCATCTCCTCGTCCCTTCGCGGCGTCTTGAAACCAGTTGTCAATGTCCGCTCATAGTCTCGCGGCATGATAGAAGGTGTGAGGACGGATGTTGAGTTTTTTCTCGGCCACGAGAGCCGTAGGGCCACTATGAATGCCTTCTGC